GCTGCCTGGCCTGCTGTGTTCCTCCAGCTCCACACTGTTATCTGACTCCAGCATCGGCAGTTCTTACTATCTCAACCTAAGAGAACGAGCAAGTTTTCAGAAAGGAATTTTTCCACTCTTACCAAACACACACGCAAATTTCCAAAAACTCACTTTTCCCAGTATATCAAACTGTTGCCTCTCTTGTTGGCAAAGCCCACTTAGGCAAACTGACTTTTGAATCAGAGTAAAAATTGAAGCAATTGGTTTTGGTTGCAACATGAATTTTAGAATTTCCCAACCTCTGGCATGAGCTTGGCCAATTCCACCCAGGGTGTATCAGTGTAACAGCCAGAAGCTATATTTTTAATAAGTAGAAACCCATCTTTAGGAGGTTCAAAAGTACCTCTGAAATATTTTTATTGCTGGAGTTAGGTCCTCTGCATGTTGTCCATTGACAGTCCACCAGAGATTTGTGGGTGAATTGTGGATACAATGGAAGTACATCCTACAGGTTAAATTTACTTCCTGACCTAGGAGAGAAATTGAAAATAACATTTTGAAAATAACAATGTCACAATCTGATAAACATGTCAATCTCTCCCACAAACAAAGGTAACTTTACTTTCACATGTTTATTCTGTGATCTCTATTTGCAAAAGAAGGCCATTTTTGCGGGCAAAATGTGACATTTGAGCATGTCATAATTTCAGCAAAATTTCTTGTAGTACTTTTCATCAAAAGGTAAAAGAAAGTGTTATTGAAAGTTTTGTATGGGCCACACATCTTCCATCTACAAAGATGAACTTTCTTTTGACACAGTCTAGCTTGTGCTTTCCTGCCCACAGTACAACATGGTAATTTACAACATCAAGAGGCACTAAGTAATTACAGACTGACTACTGGGAGGACATGTGAAACATGTTGCTGAAATCTTTCTTACAAACTGCTTGCCATCTTGTACAAGATCTTGCATTGATCAACTTGATCACTGACAATTTACAGGTGCATTATTTAAATTCCCTCATGCTGCTAAATTTTGCAAAAACCAAACACAAACACAATAATGGCAGAAGACCTCACTCACCGTGTTCCACTTTAATCTGTTGATCAATCTTTGGCAAAATTAAAACCGGTGCCTTCAGTTCCTGTTGGCTAGCTGTGGTCAAACAAAAATCTCAGATTAAGACAAGAATCATCAGCCTGATAATTAGCCCAAGGCTCTGGGATCAGGAAAGAAATTGTGCACTAAGTCAAAAGGAAGATTTACCACAAATCGAGATGGTGACGGTTCTGGTCAGACTGTAAGGCCGTTCTCTTTGTGTCATTGTTGTGATACAAGTGTATTCTCCTTTGTGGTATTCTCTTACAATTAAGAATAGCAGTTTACCCTCAGTCTCTTTCACCATGTCCACCACTTTCTCAACTCTCCAACACCCCTAAGTGGAAAAGAAAGAAGGAAGAAAAAAAGAGACCAAAACAAATAACATTGGGTTGTTTCTCATTTATACCTGTTTAAAACACAAAATTGATATTGTCCAATCACATACTAGTCACAAAAATGTAGCCATCTTGGATCACTTAAATTCATTATTCTCGAAAGGGACCTTGACAACCTAGAGAGACAAAAGCAGCAGGGATAAAGAAGCACCATCACCTCCAAGTCAGATATTCCATCCTGAATTATAATTAGAATTCTTTGCACTTTCACTGTAACTGGGTGATAGTCCTGGAACTCCCTTGCCAACTGCACTGCAGTGGTTCAAGAAGGTGACTCAAGACCACCTTCTCAAGGGCAAATAGAGATGCCATTAAAAAAAGAAGGCCTCACCACCAACTCTCACACATACCAAGTTAGTTTTTAAAAAAAATATCATGAGCAACATTGTTTAGAGAAAAGAAAAAGTACACAACATCAAATAAACTGTATGAGATCGTTGAGGGCAGGAATGAAAACTGGTTTCAGGAAACTGCATGCAAGGATAAGCAGAATTAATAGAAATGTAGTGCATACGATTGAATCAGTCTCAGACAACAACCAAGAGGAGGAACAGAGTCAGTGTCTCAGGAACAGAGTTCATAGACAGCACTGAAGACATTGGGCTTTAGTCTTTGCGGAACTTAGCAGCAGGGAATTTCTGCTCCTTGAGGAATTGTAGATTCATGAAACAATTACAGGCAGCAGAGTTGACTGTGTGAGGCAGAATAGGGTGCCAGCAGCATACCTACGGAACCAACAATGACTGAAGTAACCATTTACATGTTGAATGCAGAAGAGAGCAACCAAGTTTATAACAGTACAGGAGTCTTCCCAAAGTTTAGAAGACTTCAGCCTCAAGGAGACATTCCAGCTGAACATTGCATAAAATGCTTAAATGAGCAGTAAATGTAAACTTGAAACAATTTTCTATAAGTAAATGTAACTCCTTTTAAAGGAAGAATGTATTAGTCAGACACAAGGATTGGTGAAACAATAATGTGGATTCTATGTTTGAAGCCTACATGCAGATAATATTCACTAGATCATGTTACGTACCAGACCAAACCCCCTCAAATATATAAAAGGGATAGCTTAGACCTTATTTTTAAAACTTATTTAAAGGAAAGTGTAAGGTGCTGTGTTCCCGGTATAATTTGGTTGGACATACTACTCAGCTTTAAGCAAAACATACTTTATTCTTACCTCTGGTTAAAATGTAAACAAAAGGAGGAAGGATTGGTCTAACTTGAACTTTACTGGAAAACTTAACAGAATAATAGATTACTTAACTACTAGGCAGCAATTTTACAATCTAGTAAAATATAACATAAACACACCCTTGGAAAAGGCAAATTCAGTAAAACAGATTGTTTCACATGTGATTCTGACAGCAGAGAGAACCCAAGCTTTTAGCTGTCGCAACATCCACAAGCAGCTTCAAAACTACTGAAAGCTAAACCAAAACGCCGATTCTGAGAGAGCCTGACTCCACCCATTCATGCTGCTTCTAATGTTCCAAAAATAAAACACAAGGATTCACAAGCTGTTGATTTTATTGGCTTGGAACTGACCCCTCATTACCCTGGTCTCAACCTCTTGGAAAAATAAAATATACCTCTTAAAGCCATAGTATTGTCAATCATTACATATGATCTCTACCATAGCTACTTCAGATAGCCTGCTAAATCACAGAAATAAAACATTACATTTTGTTGAGTTGTGCAGTTGTTGCATAAGCTAATAGTTCTGTAGGGGCTAATATTCCTGTTACATTAGCTTATTCTACTGATGTTGCACAGTCTCTGGGTGGAGACAGGAAGTTCTACATTAGCTCTCGGAGAAGTATCTGTACTGGCTCCCTTAGGTCCTGGTAATATGCCTGACCTAATGTAATTGTACATATTGCTATCATGCAAAAAAAAAAACCTTCTTATTATCTAAAAACAGTGTCTCTGCTATGAAAACTCTACATGGTGAATCTTCTAGCACTGGTCACTATATAGGCCTAAGACAGAGCAAATATAGAAGAGGATAGGTGCCAGTAAAATGCTTCAGACAGTTGTTACCCAGTACAACATACTGTAGATGTAGCAAATATTATATACTACCAGGAGTGGTTGCTGGGGAAAATATTATTGGAGTTATCAACTGTGTCTAAGACACACTCCCTCAAAAAGGTACATAAAAATACCCTTTCAATTCTGACTGAAGATTTACTCTTAAAGAATCAAGCTATTTACACCTCAACAAATGAAAATAACCCTACTTCTGAATGTACTTTAGACAGGTAGCAATACAACAGTTTACAAGCCCCTGAAATATATCTGTTATTTGTTTATCTATCCAGGTTTAGTTATAGTGATATTTGCTGGATGCTGTTGTGTTTTCAGAATGCTGGCGAAGGTCACTTTTTTTTTGTTTTACATCTTGGATTATATTCTAGTTGCAATTCTGTTACTGTGCTTCTTATTATGCATCTGTTTCATCGTACTTTGATGCCATTTGGTGTTCAGATGTGAAACGATCATGGATCTGGGCATATGCTGAAGATTTCTGTTGAATTTCAGCTACCATCAGTTGGATAATGTATTCAAACATTTGTCCAATATGCAGATTGGGTGATTCATGACCTGCATGCAGTCATGGGCTTCTTTCACCTTGGCTGTTTTTCCAAGTAATGCATCTCGCACTCCTGGGAGCATTGATGAGTGATGACTGGGGAGGTTTGCCTATACTTGACTGCCAAAAAGCAGATCTGCATTAGTTTAACAGATCGACGAAGAGAGACCAAGTTTGGAATACTCTGTTCTAAATTGTGTCAAATAGTATTTTGGCCAATGATCGGCTTTACAGAGTTAGATGATCATTTTTCTGTGTAAGTGCAAGGTTTCCATTGATGGTGGCAGGTTGGTACATCTGTGATCACTGGATCACAGATCCATGCTGTCTACAACACTTGGTGATCCGGGAGAGTTGTGATAGTGGCAGGAATGGAATCACTAAGCCATTGTAAAGAAAAAACTGACAGAGATTGTTTCAATCAATTTCCACTTCTGTAGGTACATGCATACATGTGATGAAGGTACATACTGTACAAATGGTTATTTTGCCTTCTCCTGCTGCTAAGCCCTATGTTGCAATGCTGCTTTCGCATAGCAACTCTCAGGACTGCCACACTTTTCCACAACCATTTGAGAAGCAAATAGACCATTCTCAACCAACTTCAGTCAAACAGTCCTCTTCCTCCCACTTCCTCAGTCTCTCTTCATAAAATCGTTTTTAAAAAAAAAGCAATTTAGATTGAGCACAAAATAAACTGGAACACTATTTTTAAAATATCCCAATTATCCTTTTCCAGGGCTTGCTTATGAAAGTGTCCTGGAAATCAATCCTCAATTCCTCATCAATTCATGATCAACCTGAAGGAGTTGGCAACCAGATCCAGCACAGACCCCAAACTCAAGGCCCCTTGGGTCCTTCAGTAGGTAAATAGATTTGTTTATTAAAAAATATGCTTTGAGGACTGATTGACAAGTGCAGGACAACTGCTTAAATGATCACAGCTATTTTCCCTGAGTGCTTCCTATGTTAGAAGGAGAGTAGCCATCAGAACTGACCAATGGCAAAATTCATGGAGGTCTTATGGAGGAGTGAGTAGTGCCCTGCCTCAGAACCAGGTTCTCCATGTTCGAGTCCCACTCCAGGACTTGGCGGACGAGGAATGTGCATTCATAATACAGTCAAACTACAAATCTTTCCAACAAGCACCAATGGCAGACAATTAGTTTGGGAGAGATTCCTGGTCAGGCACATGGTGGAATAAAGATTGGATCTTCTACCTTCACTGTCCATAGCTCGACTCTAAAATGTGCATCACATAAAAGTACAAGTAACCACAATAACCTGGAATCCCGGTGTGAACTGCAATACGCCATAAATGTTCCATACCTGACCCTGGTCCTTTGTGTGGTGTTCCGAAGGGGCCTCATTTGCATACCAGGCAACTGTTGAGTTGACTGAAGACTTGGAGAACTCAGTAGTGTCTGGACAGCTCAAGTATTTGGTTTCTCCGAGAGCCAACTGAACAGGGAAAATCATTTCCTTACTGCTGTTGCAATCATTGTGTCCTTTCTGAATGACCAGAAGGGGTACAGCCACCTTGAGACAATAGGTGGTGTTCCTAGGATGAAGTTAACAAGAGAGAAGATTCTAATCAATGCAGCCCTGTTTAGGAGACCAACTGTACTTTGTGCCCCTTTCTGTTGTAAAAAAGGAGCTTTATTTTCCAATATGGTTAAATCCTCCTTACCCATGCTATTTACATTTTATCATTGCACAGGCCCTGTGCTTACAGCATTTACTGGCTTTCTCAATGTCGTTTTCCCAATGTCAGCCTATTTTATACTTGAAAATTGCCATGACCCAGTCCGAGATGTGGGTAGGTAGATGTGTGACAGTGAGGGGTTGCGGCTGGTAAAGCAGGTGGGAAATGTGTGAAAAGAGCATGGGAGGGACTGTTTAATCTACAGAGCTCTTAAGTAAAATACACCTACTTTCTGACTGGGCTTTTCAGGACAGGATTCAGGTCTTGAGGCTTGATCAATTAGGCCAGCCCATTATTTCAAAGAACAACTCCAAGGTTTAAAAAGGGACCATGCATCTGTTAGCACTCAGATGGAGCTCCCGTTACCTTGGAACTTACAGCCTCACAATTGTGGCTGCTAACTACACCGGTTTGGGGTGGAGAGTGGGGGGCGCGGTGTGATGGGTGTATTCTATAGTTTGAGAAGCCCTGATTGAAGATTTCCCCACTGTTTGATCATATGGTTTGTTCAATTATTGATACAAACAGAGGCCTAACATCTTGGTAACTGTTAATGTAGGCTTCTTGCTACACTCTACCTGATGGTAAACTATGGAGCAGGGTGCTACCAGCTGAACAGGTCTGACCTGAAACTCTAACTCAGATTTCCTTCATTGTTGCTGCCAGACCTGCTGAGCCTTTCCAGGAATTTCCATTTGTCTAACTTCTTCCTGGTACTTCACAACAAGATCACGAAGGTCACAGTGACATCGTTGATTATCTCAGTAGCTTACATTCATCATGTTCAACCCCTCTCAATACACCCACCATTTACACATATATCAGCTGGTAACATTCCTGCACTCAGAGGATCCAAGGGGGTAAGGGGGCATTGTGTGTGTGCGCGCATACATGTGTGTATCTACCCCCCCCACTTTCAATACCAAGTTAACAGACCGCACAGAAAAAAAATAAAAACAGATGGTAAATTCCAACTGATTGCCATCAGTGGGAAAGTTCTTAGCCCCAGGCCTCATGAAGACAATTCCACCTCCTGGCCTATTGGAGCCAACAATACAAATGAAGCCTGTCATTTTGTCAGACAGACCACAGAACTGCACAAGAAATGAACAAAGCAACACAAGACCAAAAAGTATTCTAACTCCTCTTCGACAATTCTCTAAAATTCTGACCTACTTTCCTTTCCAAGCCCTTAATGCACAAAACAGGAATCAATAAAGAGAAACAGTTCGCTTGGTCAAGACATCCAGTAAGAGGAAGCTGCTTCGATGTAATTGATAGAAGAGGAAGTGAGAAACGTTTGCTGTTACGAAACAAGATAATGAGTTACAATTAGCAGTAACATGCTGGAAGTGAATGAAGAGTGACTTTCGAATAATAATTAATTAGATCAATGCCCAAAAGGTTAACAAAATGCAGTGGAAGTGGAATAAACAGATTTCTCTTTCCAAAGAAACAAGGCAGCAGTGTCCTGATGGATTGACTGGCCTCCTTCCGTATTGTATGGTTCTGTGATATCACAGCCATCAGCTCCAATGCAAAACTGTGCAAAAATCTTGATAAGTGGCAAAAACCTTCAAATCAAACATTTTCAAGCAAAATACCTCAATATGCAGGTGTAGTTCCCAGAATCATTAGCAAACACTGGCCAAAACCACAGCACTTCCAGCTTCTTTGTGATTCGATTCCCTGCTTGGTCAAAGTCTATCAGCTCTTCCAGCTCTCCATTTTGTCTGGTTTTATACCACACTAGTGTTAGTCCCGAGTCATTGGCCATGCTGTAGCTTAATTTGGAGTGGGTCAGGAAGAGGGGGCAGCTAACCCTCGCTGGCTCCTCACTGTAGGCCTTCACTTCGGTGACATTATCCACATCCCAGTCCATGCATTGTCCTGAACCAAAAAAAAACAAACATGCGGATAAAAAATGAGGGATAGTCTTAGAAGAGAAGGCAGTTGATTTCAACAACCAGCATTGATATGATCTACGTAAAATATTCCAAGACATGGGACACAAAGGAAATGCTAGGAGAGATGACCAAAAGATTAACCAAAGAATTGGTTTTAAGGAGGAGATACACATGGTTCATTAAATGGAAAATTCAGGGATGGGTGTGTGAAGGTGGGGATAATAGTGCTGGAGGAGCATACGTATATAGGAATGGGTTAAGGTCAAGGTCAAGATAGAGAGACAGAGAGAGAGAATCTTCACATTTTGAGTCCAATGACTTTTCCTTAGAATGGAAGAGGGCTCAAAACCCGACATTCTAAAGCTGTTGAGAAGTGGAGGGAAGGAGGGGGAAGGAAGTGGAACAAATGGAAAAACAGAGCCCAGAACAAAAAGCAATGGGAGTGCTCATAGTAATACAGAAGTATAAAGACCATAAAACACAGGAGAAGTAATAGCCCCTTCAGCTCATCAATTCTGCTCTGTCATTCATTAGACCATGATAATCCTTAATGCCACTTTCCGGTCTTATCCCTACAATCTTCAATTTCCTCACTGATTAAAAATATGTTTACCTCAGCCATTAATATACATAATGACCCAACCTCTACAGCCCTCCGTGGTAAAAAAAGTCTACAAATTCAATAACTTCTGAGAGAAGAAATTTCACCTCACCAATATAAGAAACAGTTTTTCTCCAGAGAAAGGAGTTAATTTCAAACAGTTAGGTATTAGGATACCTCAATTTAGTTTGAAAGTTCCAGATGAGTCGTGTTTCATTGGAACGCTGAAGGGGCTGTTTAAAGCTATGAAGGTCTAAGCTCAGTTGCATGACTAATCAAAAAAAAAAAGACAATTGAATTCTCAAGCCCAGGAATTGAAAGAATAGGTTTGTATTAGCTGTTGTGATCGAGAAAGGAACTCTTTCTGGTGTTAAGTACTGTAAGGTGATGGTGTTGAGATAGATGGAACTGTATTTTAACAGCGTGTTTTAAAATCTTTCATATTGTGTTGTATATAAATTGCTTGGTTTATTCTATTTTATCTTCATTTCTTTTGCATGATAAACTTCTGTTTATTTGTTAAAACCAATCTGCAGTTTAAGTGAAAGACCACCTTGTTAAATAAAAACACGATCCATCAAACTAGATTTCAGTCTGGGATCTGACTTGTCCAGTCATAACTTCTGGGATCATATCACTGTACACAAGTTGGCTTCCATGATAATGATGACTTCACTTGGGGAGATACTTTGTTGGCTGTAAAGTACTTTGGGATGGATACTCCCAAGTTGTCGTGAATTCCTGGAATTGATCAGAGGAAAGTGTCATCAAGGGTCTCATGGTGTCTGGAAGACAATGAGAAGGCTGAACAGGACAAAGGGTTTTGGCCCAAAACATTGACTTTCCTGCTCCTTGAATGCTGTCTGACCTGCTGTGCTTTTCTAGCCTCAGACCGACAGACTCTGGCTTCCAACATCTGCAGTCCTTACTGTCTCCAGAATGCTGAACTATGTTGGGTCACATATAGCAACTCTTCTGTGCATTCTAGCTTGATAACAATCCAATAAAAACAGAGAAATATACAATTCTGTAATATACTTTACAAACTCAGGACATCTCAGATTTGAGGGTGACAATTTGAGCAAGTAAAAAATTGGACAGCCGTAAGGTCATAAAATATAGGAGGAGAAATAGGCCATTCAACCCATCAGGTCTGCTCTGCCATTCGATCATTCTTAACCTTATTTACCGGCTTTCTTCCCGTAACCTTTGATCCCCTTACTAATCAAGGATCTTCCTCTGTCTTTAAATACACTCAATGACATGGTCTTCACGTTCTCCTTGGCAACAAATTCCATGGATTCACCATGCTCTGGCTGAAGAAGTATCTCCTCATCTCAGTTGTAAAGGGTGGTCTCCTCGCTCTGAGGCTCAGCCATCAGGTCCTAGTCTGTCCTACTAGTGCAAACATCTTCTCCACATCCAGTCTATTCAGGCCTCTCAATATTCTGTAAGTTTCAAAGAGATCACCCTCATCCTTCTAAACTTCATCAAGTACAGACCCAAAATCCTCAACTGCCACTTATATGAAAAGCCTTTCATCCCTGGGATCATTCTTATAAATCTCCTCCGGACCCTTCCAAGGCCAGCACATCCAAAAATTGCTCATAATATTCCAAATGACTGGAGTTTTATCCAACCTCAGCAGTACATCCTTGCTGTTGTATTCTAGCCCATTTGAAATGAATGCAAACATTGCATTTGCCTTCTTAACTGCTCACCAAACCTTAAGAGAATCCTGAACTAGGATTCCAAGTCCCTTTGTGCTTCAGATTTCCATGGTCTTTCCCCAATTAGAAAATAGTTTGTACCTCTGTTCTCCTGCCAAATTGCATAACCTCACAGTTTCCCCACATAGAATTACCCGATGGAATACATTCTCGCCTGGTCTGGCCAAGTCCTTCTGCAGCCTCCCCACCTCCTGAACATGACCTGCCCCCACTTCATGATCTTTGTGTCACCTGCAAATGCAGCAACAATGCCCTCAGTTCCTTTGTCTGGTAGAAGTCAAACAAGGAGTTAAGAGGGTTAAAAGAGGCCATGAAAGGTCTTTCGTTAACAGGATTAAGGAAAATTCCAAGACATTTTATACATAAATAAGCAGCAAGAGGGTAGCTAGGGAAAAGTTAGGTCCACTCAAGGACAGAGGAGGAAATTCATGTGTGGAGCTACAGGAAGTGGGTAAGGTCCTTAACAAATACTTCGCATCCATATTCGCAAAGGAGAAGGACAGAGTGGATGGTGAGTCTCAAAGTGGTGTTGGGTGTTTTGAAAAGACGCCTATCTCCTTCAGAACTCTAAGGCGTAGTCAATCTGGTATGGGTGATTTATCCTCCTTCAGATGTTTTCAGCTTCCCTAGCATGTTCTTCTTAGTGATGGCCACTACACTCACTCTGCCCCCTGAATCTCTCAATATTCTGGTATGCTACTGGCATCTTCTACCATGAAAACTGATACAAAGTACCTGTTCAGTTCCTCTGCCATTTCTTTGTTCCCTGTTACTATGTCTCCAACCTTATTTTCCAGCAGTTCATGTCTGCTCTTGCCTCTCTTCAATATCTCTAAAAATCTCTTGCAATCTTTTATATTACTAGCTAGCTTACTCTCATATTTCATCTTCTCCCCCTTATTGCTGTTTTAGTTATCCCCTGCCAGTTTTCAGAGACTTCCCAAACCTCTGGCTTCCCACTAATCTTCACCACATTGTATGTTTTTTTCTGTTGTGCTGACTCTGCCTTGTCTGGTCAATCATGGTTGTTCGTATGTTTCCTCTTCCTGGAGAGGAGTTTCTATTGTGCCTCCCGAATTACCCCCACAAATTCCTGCCATCGCTACTCCATAGTCTTCCCTGCGAGGCTCCCTTTCCAACCAATTCTGGCCAGCTCCTCCATCCTGTCTTTGTAGTTGCTTTTACAAATTGTAATACCTGTACATTAAATTCTAGCTTCTCCCTGTCAAACTGCAGGGTGAATTCCGTCACTTATGGTCACTGCCCCCGGTGGTTCCTTCACCTTAAGCTCCTCACCTAGTGCTTCAGTCCACATCAGCAATTCCAGAATTTCCCTAGTGGCCTCTCCACAAACTGCTGTGAAAAGCCATCTTGTAGACATTCCTCAAATTCCTTCTCTTGGGATCCGCTACCAATTGTATCTACCCAGTCCACCTGCATATTGAAGATCCTAGGATTATTGTAATAGTGCCTTTTTTTGCATGCCTTTTCTTTTTCCTGATTTATTTTCTGCCCCACATTCTGACTACTGCTAGGAAACTTGTGCACACTTCCCATCAGAGTCCTTTTTCCTTTGTGGTTCCTCAACTCTACCCTAACAGATTCTATGCCTTCTGACCCTATATCACTTATTGCTATCAATTTATTTCATTTCTGTCTAAAAAAGGCACCCTTCCCCCTCTGCCCATCTGCCTGTTCTTTTGAATGGACTCGTGTCCATCGATATTTAGTTCCCAGCCCTTAGCCCTTTGCAGCCACGTCTCTGTGATGCCCACAACATCATACTCACCAATTTCAATCTGCACTACAAGCTCAGTTACTTTGTTTCATACACTGCACACACTCAAGTACTATGCCTTCAGTCCTGTGTTGACCATCCTCCCCATTCTCATATTTATCCCTTTATCTACCGTGCCTGAAGTAAGATTCCTGACTCTTTCCATGCTCTACCCTATTATTTGTTCTGGAAACTTTAATAACCGCTGCTGAACCCTCCCTCCTCCCTTAACTAGTTTGAAATCCTTGTAACTTTGATTTGGAACATCAGTTCATCGACCTTATTCTGAAAGCCTCATGCATGAAGATACAAATTCTTTTTGGGTTTCCCTACACTCTTATGGCTCAAGGGTACAATGTGATATTTACACATTCTGTGTGATTTTATATTCTTACTTCATGTACATAAATTCTAATCTATTGCAACGTTACAGATTGTGCAGTGAGCACATCATTGCCACTGGGGTTTGGCATTTATTCTTCACACAGATTCTACATTTGGCACCAGACTGTGTCTATTTTTGCTGAGAAAGACAGACCAAGGGGTGACCTGGTAGAGGTCTATAAATTTGCAACGGTGTTTGATCGGTCAAGTTTATAAAGATATTCCGATATTTAAGGATGTTAAAACTATAGTCTGTCAGATATAAGATTGTCACAAATAAGTCTATGAGGGAATTCGGGAGAAACTGGTGTAGTGGGAACGTAGGGCTTATATTACAGAGGGTAGTTAGATGGATGTAAGGGGAACCTAAATACACACTTATTGGAGAAAGGAATAGAAGGATATGTTGATGGAGTGAAATTAAAATTGGGTGAGAGGAGGATCTTATGGAGAATAAATACCAGCATGAAGCAGATGGATCAAGTGGCCTGTCTCAGTGATGCAAGTTTTACATAATTCATGAGCACTTCCAGGTGATAATGATTGTATGTTTACAGTCTGTTATTGCAATCTACTTAGGGACTTCACACCATTAAAGCAGTTCAAAATCTTTTTATACCCTACTTTCTGTTACAATGCTAAAAGCCTTGTTGTTCTGGGTTTGCCAGCTCTTTTCTTCGCAGTCCCTCAAAAAACAAGGATGACTGATTGGCTTCTACTCCAGAGGATGGGTCCTGAGGTAACTAATACTCCATGCTGGATCCATATATCCCTGGCACGGTTGAAGCAAGTGGTGTTTGAATAGGGAAGTGGGTAGGGTGCATAGGCTTTTGCATGCTCCTTCCACTTGGGTCGGTCAGAGATTCTCGAGATGGTTGGCACCTTTGCAGATGCTTTTCTTCTAATTTTGGCAATCTTGGACAAGTGATTCCCACAAATCAGTGGGGACATTGCATTTTCCAGGCATTAACCTAATCATGATGTATTTTCTCTGGTGGCTGCGTGATAGTAACTCTGAAATCTTGTACTACAGTCACTAATGGATTAAACCACTGATTTATGTTTGTAAAGGGCTTCAGGATTTTAGAGCAAACTTGCTATGATGTTACAGAGCTGCTCATCACTGGGCTTAAATAGCACAGCGTGGGCTTTGTTAAAAGGAATCTCATGGAGAAGCCTCTTGAATCCAAATAGAGAGAGTCAGGCAGTAGCCTGAAATCTGAATAGTCTTTTAATCATGGAATGAGATTAAAGTCTGGTATATCTATGACTACGATGTCTAAACAGCATTACAAAGAAAAACAAGCCTAAAGATCTCGACTTTGCCTTCTTCTCAACCTGTCATGCTTGAGCCTAAACTTTTGGATACGGGCATTAAATCTCACAACAAAAGGCTTTGATGGGAATTAAATGTCTTGGGCTTGAATTAGCCATAAAAGAGCCAACTTGTACCCAGGAGGCAAGACAGGGTTATGTGAATAAGACTATTGTCTCTGAAGCAGTAGGTCCTGTGTTCAAGTTCAACACCAGAGACCTGAGCTCAACATTTGATTTGATATTGAAGTGCAGTACTGAGAGAGTGCAGCACTAATTTTAAATGCCATTATTTTAGGTGAAATATTAAATTGATGCTCCATTTGATCTCTCAGGTAGGTATAAATGATCACATGGCATTCTTTGGAGAGTATTTTCCCTGTGCTCTGGACAATAGATGTCCCTGAATCAACGTTACAGAGAAACGCTACCTTATGATGATCATATTATTGTTTGTTGGTGTTAGCTGCAGGCAAATTGGCAACTAACACTTCACAGATATTTAATTGATGTAAAGGACTTAGGGATATACGGAAGTTGTGAAAGGGATAGCACAAGCAATTAGTAATACTCCAGTGGTCTGTCAATCACTAGCTAGTTATAGAGACCAGAGATAAACAATCACCTACAGGATGATCACGCAGCACTCTGAAATGTGTTGGACTAAATTTCAACAATCTGTTTATTAATTAGGCTGGGGCTGTCTTATGGAAAAAGAGAGATTGGTTTACATTTCAATTTGCTGTGTACGTGTCCAATGTGCACTTCTTAATAGACTGTTATTATGTTCATTTATTTTACTGTCCCATACAGTCCATTGTTTGTGTCACAGAACCAAGCAGCACAAAAGCTGTCTATTTGACCCACGTACAGAGCAATCCATTAACTCCTCATGACAGCTGCCATTATCACTCCAGGAACTCTGGGAAATTGCGGCTCCAGAAATACTGACAAGTTAATCATTAAAAACCCTCATACACTCAAAACCAAAAACTTCAACTCCAAACCATAAAATAAATTACTTTAATATATATTCTTGCGGGGAGGTGATGGCCTAGTGGTATTATCGCTGGACTGTTAATCCAGAGACCCACATAACGTTCTGGGGACCCGGGTTCGAATCCCACCACGGCAGAATCTAATGATGACCGTGAATCTATTGTCGATTGTCAGGAAAAACCCATCTGGTTCACTATCGTCCTTTAGGGAAGGAAACTGCTATCCTTACCTGATCTGGCCTACATGTGACACCAGTCCCACAGCAATGTGGTTGACTCTGAACTGCCCCCTGGGCAATTAGGGACCAGCAATAAGTGCTGCCTGGCCAGCAATGTCCTCATCCCGTGGATGAATTTAAAAATGTTTACAGGTACTTATATTGCAACAGCAAGTTCCTAAGAACAACGTGAGAATATCCAGATCAGTGATTTTAGTGAATGACCTCTTTACAGCCACAAGGAACACAGGGACTCAGTTAAAGTCTTACCTAAAGAAAGATACGACCTCAGAGAGTGCTGCACCTAATCAACACTGCACTGGAATGGCAGCTTAGAGTGTGTGCACAAGTATCTGAGTGGAATTTGAACCAAAGACTGTCAGATGCAAAAATAAAAGCGGAGGACATGCAGATTGAAACAAATGAACGCATCACACCAAACCAAGGACAGGAAGAGGTAGCTTTCTTACCAAATAATGGTTCACAGAAAAGGGTCAGACTGCAACTCAGAAGGAAAAGCAGCAGAGTGAGTCTAATTGGGTAACTCTATCAAGGGCTGGCAGATGTGTGAAGGGGCTCAACAATCTTTTTTCTGTACAATTATATCATTCCATAATAAAACAGGACAAATACTGTAAATACATTTCATTATTCAAGAGTTAAAAAGCTCACCAGATGCGCTGAGCCGATGAGTTACTGTTGCAACAATACAGGTCAATATGTACACAGCAAAGGTTGAAAGGGACCAAGGCATTCTAAAACAAAAGCAGAAATATGCTTCAATTTTTTTTAAGAAAAATTGACAGCAAGACAAATTTCTCTATCAAGGCTCAGGGAGTTTAACACAGAATGTTACAGGTGAGAGACAGATGATTGGGATGGCTCCCCATTTTTTAACATCTCAATTAACTGAAGACAGAGCATTTTAAATAAGAAAAAGAAGTGACTTAACTTCTGTAATCATCAGGAACAGGTTGCCTCATAAATTTGAAAAGAAATATGGCTACTACTCAACACCAATACATATCCCCTGAACACACAATTTACAAATTCAAATCAAACTTGAAGTTAGATATAATTCTTCAAAATTTAGAACACAACTTTCCGAATAGCCATGATATATCAAGAATCTTGATTACCGATAACACATTTGATAGCTGTAGTGATTGGAACAAGGGACTGGTGGATCCATTGACTATGAGGGGTCATTAACCTGGGCTAAATCAGGGAGCCCTGGCTGACAGCTAGAAACAGGAGTTTCAGGGAGTCTCCTCATTCTAGGGACTAGCTTGCAGCTGGCTGTGCACAAGTAAATAATGGGTGACTTGGTGATGGGACACCAGCCTCTGTGGAGTTATTTCAATAGTAAACAGTAGATAATGAAAAGCAAAGAGAAATTACTCCTGACTTTGATGATAAGTCAGCATTCCTTCAAAGAAGTTAACAATGTGCTGATTACATCGAATTATAGACATAGGGAGGGCGACATTCAGCACAATAAGCTTTGCTGGCTCTTTGAAATAAACAATCAAATTATCCCAGTACAGCTACAACATTGTCAGGTAGATGCCAATGTGGAAATTTGCCCAGGTATGTCCTATACACAAAAAAAACAGGAAAATACAACCTGGCCAATTACACCCTATTCTTGATGATCAGTAAAGTGATGGAAGGTGTCATCAACAGTGCTATCAAGCAGTATCTGCTCAGCAACGCCCAGCTTGGGTTCTGCCAGGGCCACTCAGCTCTTGATCTCATTACAGCCTTGGTTCAAACTTCGACAAAGAAACCTACATGCAGAGGTGAGGGGAGAGTGACAGCCCTTAACATCAAGGTAGAATTTCACAGAGTGGTATCAAGGAGACCTAGCAGGACCAGAATCATTGGGAGGCATTAGGAAAACGTTAGGTGGAGTCTTTTCTATCTCAAATGGAATGGCTGTGGTCGACAGTGGTCGGTGATTTCGGCTCTAGGACATCTCTGCAAGAATTCTTCAGTGTGGATGTTTTCTAATCGATCTGTTCAGAGATGGTATTATACACCTCTGAAGCAGGTGGAACTTGAATCTGGGACTCCTGGCTTCGACACATGGGCACTACCACTGTGACACAAGAACACTAATTCTCAGAGACGTGTCCTCAGTCCAACCACCTTCAGCTGCTTCAATGATCTTCCCTTCATTATGTGGTCAGAAAGAGATGTTCACTGATGATTGCAAAATGTTCCACACCATCCGTGAATCTCCAGATATAGATGATTCCAAATGTCAAGATGCAGTAGAGCCTGGAAAATATTCAGCTTCGGCTGATAGCTAGAAAATAGTATTTGCACCATACAAAATGAGAGGCAATAACTAACTGCAATGAGAAAATCTAACCTTCACCCTTTGACATTTACATGCATTATCATCATCGAATCCTCCACGGATCAACATCTTGGGGGCCACCATTGATCAGAAACTGACCTGGACTAGCCACATAAATACTGTGGTGCAACAGTAGGTCAGAATCAGAAGCTAGGAATCCTGCAAACAGTAGCTCACCTCCTGACTCCCAAAATCTGTTAATCATCTACAAGGCACAAGTCACGCACTCACCTGGATGGGTGCAGCTCCAGCAACACAGGAAGATTGAGACCATCAAGAAAAAGCAGTCTGTTTCATTGACATCTCATCCACAACTGTTCAACATTCACTCTGTCCAATGATGACCATTACCTACAGGGTGAACCATCTACGAGATGCACTGCAACAACTCACCTCCATCAACAATACATTCTAAACCCACAAACCTCTACCACTGAGAAAGGACAAGGCCATCAGATACATAGGAACAATCACTTGCAAATTCCTCTCCAAGCCACACACCATCCAAATTTAAAAATATGTCATCATTCCTTCGGGGTTGCTGAATCCCAAATCCAGGAACTCCTGCCCTAATGGCAATGTGGATGCCCCTATACCCAGGACTATGGTGATTCACAATGCAGCTCACCACCTTCCAAATGGAATGCAGGAATGCACAACAAATGCTGGCCTAGCCAGCTATGTTCAAATGCTGTAAAAGATATATATTAAAAAAAAGTGAACACAAAGCATGATGCACCTTAACGGACAAGCTGTGACCATTCTAAGAAATAAGTAGCAAGTTCCTCCCAATCATTAATGTCTATGTGGCCACGTGTCAAGGAGAACTTCAGTCTGTCTTTAAAGCATTTTCTTTGTCCTGCCCTTTAATGGTGACAATTTGTGAGTTGAGAAAATATTGGCATGGCAGGGCAATAATTTTCCACTGCCCAGACACAGTTTCCAGTTGAAAGTTGGTTTGGAAGGAGTTTTGAGAGAAAGGTAGTAGAGTTACCTTGCTCTTGCTGACATGGTCCTCCCATTGAATCTGGAAGATGTGGCAGAGGCATTACAGATGGAATTCCTTTAACCCTCTCATATGGCACTGATACACAGTGCTTGGAGACCGTAAGGACTGCAGATGCTGGAAGCCAGAGTCAACATATGTGGAGCTGGTAAATCTCAGCAGGTCAGACAGCATCCGAGGAGCACACAAGTCAACCTTTCGGGCCAAAAGCCATCATCAGGACTGGGGAGGAGGAGGCAAGTCCAGAAGTAAAGAGAGGGAGGGGGGTGGGGCTAAGGAAAGGGTAGGTGGGATGGCAATAGGTGGATGCAGGAATGGGGTTATTGTGATTGGTCAGTGGGAAGGGTGGATTGGATAGGTGAGTAGGCAGATGGACAGGTTAGGTCAGGTCAGAGAGGCAAGGAGGAGGGGGAGGGCTGAACAGGAAATGGGTGGAGGGATTTTGAAGCTGGTGAAGTCAATATTCAGGCCATTGGGCTGTAAGCTCCCAAGGTGAAAGATCAGGTGTTGTTCCTCCAGTTTACATTTGGTCTCACTCTGACAGTGGAAGAGGCCAAGGACAGACATGTCACTAAGGGAGTGAAGAGGGAATTAAAATGGATGGCAACCGGAAGGTCAGGTTGGTTAGCGCACGCAGAGTGCAGTGCTCCACTAACCGGTCCCCAAGTCTGTGTTTGGTCTCCGGACATAGAGGACACTACATCGGGAGTAATGGATATAACAGATCAGGTTTATGAAATGCAGGTGAATCTCTGCGCAATTTGGAAGGATTGTTTGGGGCCTTGGACAGAGGTGATGGGGAGGTTTAGGGGCAGGTGTTACACCTCTTGTGGCTGCAGGGAAAGGTACCAGGTGTGGTGGAGAAGATGGAGGGGAGCGTAGAGATGACGAGGGAGTCACAGAATGAATGGTCTCTGAAAAGTAGGCAGGGGTGGGAAAGGAAATATCTTTTCGGTGGTGGGGTCTAATTGTACGTGGCGACATGTTGGAGGATGAAGTATTGGATTTGGAGGTTGATGGGGTGGTATGTGAGGACTAAGGGGACTCTATCCTTGTTCTTGTTGGGGGTGTGGGGGGGGGGGGGGGGCGGGGGGAGGAGGGGATTTGAAGGAAAAGGACAAGATGTGGTTGAAGGCACCCTCAATTACAGAGGAGGGGAAATTCCGGTCCCTAAAGCAGGAGGATATCTGGGATGTCCCAGAGCAGAACACCTCATCTTGGGAGCAGATGTGGCAGAGGCAGAGGAATTGAGAGTAGGGATAGCATTTTTTACAGCAGGGTGGGTGAGAGGAGGTGTAGTCGAGGTAGTTGTTGGCTAGGAGGCCAGAGTCTGAATCCAGAAATTTGTCATAACATCCCTGGAGAGGGTGATCAAAAATACTTGTCATGGATACATCATCCAGTCTCACTATAGCAACAACAACAACCTAGGCCACTTTGATGACTTGTGGGGTCACTGTTGTCAAATAGGCATTGGCATCATTTGAGGAAGGTTGGGTTGGTGTAGCTGATTGGGTGTTGGATTTCTTCATCAATGGTGGCTTTTTGAGAGATGAGGCTGTCAATGTTGGGGATGTGCTCAATGTATTCCACAGTCTCTCTTTCAACACACATGGGAGGAAGAATATTTGACTGACCAAGACTGGTTGATTTATGAGTATCTGTGCCAACCTAACTGACCACTCTAGTCATACATGGCCTGTAATGTGTGGATGACGACAGTTTTGCAGCTTGCTCTATACAAGATTTGTTTGGAAACTCTCAATCTCTTCAATTCTACACAAGGGATTTAGTCGGTCCTTGAATGTTGTCAAAACAAATTAAAAATCTTTAAGTGTACAGTAAGGTCCAAATCTGACTGGAGAGATATTTGACTTCTCCCCATCTGAAGCAAGTTTGATTCCATTAAAATAGAATTGCGGGTTTCACAGTGCTGCCTGAGATATACTTAAGCTGGTAAACACTTGCCAAAGTCAAGACATGACAGATATTTCCAGTTAGGTTTGAGAATACATTGTATCCTGAATTTTGTTGCTCTTCAAGTTTAATCATATATACAGCAAATATGGCTAATTTCTGATGAAGGGTCTAGGCCCAAAACGTCAGCCTTTCTGCTCCTATGATGCTGCTTGGCCTGTTGTGTTCATCCAGCTCTGCACCTTGTTGTCTTGGCTAATTAATCACCTTCATTGCTCAGACCTTTAAGTATAGGAGTTGGGACATCATGTCGGAGGTTATACAGGACATTGGTGAGGCCTCTTCTGGAGTTCTGTGTCCAGTTCTGGTTGCCCTGCTATAGGAGGATATATTACTGAGCTGGACGGAGGTCAGAAAATATTTACCAGGATGTTGCTGGGAATGGAGGGTTTGAGTTATAAAAAAAA